TGCTCTTTAACATCAGGTCTTTTCCCTAAACCACTGAAAACTGCTGCTGTGAAACCCTTCTAAAGAAGAGGAAACTAAATCCCTCAGTGTTGAACAACTACCGACTGATTAATCTCCCTCTGGTGGAAAAATCATTGAAAAGGCGGTAATGATCAAAATAAACAATTATTTAGAGTCAAATAACATTATGGACTACTCTTTAATCTCTACATGTTCCCCCTGGGTCAGGTCATGCTTAATAACAACATTGCCTATCATAGCTATACTGATGACACCCAGATCTATTCAGCCCTATCACCTAGTGACTGTGGTCCACTGGATTCACTCTGTCAGTGTCTAGAACAAGTAAACAACTGGATGCAGTCAAACTTCCTTCAACTAAACAAAGACAAGACTGAAGTTATTGTCTTTGGCAACAAGAAGGATAGAATGGATTTTATTGCTCAGGTAGACTCCAGGGGAATAAAGACAAAGACCCAGGTTAGAAATCTAGGTGTTATATTTACTCAGACCTGAGCTTCTCTGGACACATTAAGGCTATAACTAAATCAGCGTTTTATGTTTACTTTTATGTTTATTCATTTAGCTGACGCTTTTATCCAAAGCGACTTGCAATTCATAACCTATAGGGCATGTTGTGATCTGTGGGGGAAACCGGAGTACCCGGAGGAAACCCACGCATGCATGGGGAGAACATGCAACGCCACGCAGAAAGGCCGCAGCCAAGGCGAGTTTCGAACCTGCAACCTTCGTGCTGCGAGGCAACAGTGCTAACCACTGCGCCACCATGCAGCCCATGCAGTTTTATCACCTTCATCAAATATCAAGAGTCAGAGGTCTCATGTCCAGACCCGACTTAGAGAAAATCATTCATGCTTTTATTTCTAGTCGGCTGGACTACTGCAATGGTCTTCTTACTGGTCTTCCCAAAAAAGCTGTGAAGCAACTGCAGCTTGTTCAGAATGCTGCTGCCAGAGTCTTAACAAGAACTAAGGGAACAGAGTGCATCAGTCCTGTTCTTAGATCTCTACACTGGTTACCAGTAAACTACAGAATAGATTTCAAAGTGCTCCTTCTAGTTTATAAACGACTTAATGGCATGGGATCAAAACACACGTCAGATCTCATTCCTTTACTTGCACCCAATAGGGCGCTGAGATCTCTTGTAATCAGTCAGCTGGTAAAACCTCGGGTCAGAACCAAACATGGTGGAGATGCATTTAGTTACTATGCTGCTCACATATGGAATCAGCTTCCCCATGACCTCAGATCTGCCCCAACCAGTGTTGTTTAAAACAAAACTAAAACCCTAATGTACTCCTCAGCCTTTAAATGAATTGTTTCTTATCATGCGTCATCTCCTCTGTAATCTGTGCATATATATATATATATATATATATATATATATATATATATATATATATATATATAACTTTGTCTTGTCATTTAGCTCTAACAGTAAGTCTATCTGTGTGTATTTTAATTTATGTTTTTATGTGTTTTCATATCATGTCCTGATAATTGTAAAGCACATTGAATTGCCTCTGTGTTTGAAAAGTGCTCTATAAATAAAGCTGCCTTGCCTTGTCTTGCCTTATAAAAGCGAGATGTGAACTGGGGCTCGCGGGCGGTCACCACATCAGTGGGGAAGCCATGTAGGCAGACCACATGTTCAAGAAGGAGCTCCGCTGTCCATTTTGGTGTGGGAAGTTCCAGAAGGGCCAAAAACTGGACGGCATTAGAGAAGCGGTCGATTAAAGTTTAAATTGTGTCCAAACTGTTGACTTCCAAGAGGCCAGTCACAAAGTCTATCCCAAATATGGGATCAGGGCTACTTGGGCACCAGTAGGGGTTGCAGTGCCCCCACGGGGGCCTGGTAGATGGACTTGGAATAGGCGCACGTCTCGCATGCAGCCACGAAGTCCTTAGTGTCTCGCATCACAGAGGGCCACCCGAAGGCCTGTTGGAGGAACTGAAGGGTCCTGGTGAAGCCTGAGTGTCCTTACAGGTAGGAGGAGTGCCCCCAGATAAGACCCATTTCAAGACATGAGGCAGGTGCATAAAGGATTTCTGGGGGTGTCCCGGATTGCCTCTTCAAAAGGTCAGTGGACTGCAGACAGGAATCAGTGATTTGGCAGGACCGGTTTAGGTTCAGGTCGAGCGTAGTGGATGAACTGGCGAGAGAGGGTTCTCACCTTCTGGTTTTTGGAGCCGGGGCAGTAAGCCAGGACTAAGTTGTGGGGCTTGAAGGAGAAGGCCCACCGGGTCTGTCGAGGCCTAAGCTATTTAGAGCAGTGTTTCCCAACCCTGGTCATCGGGGCACACTGACCTGAATGTTTTCCATGTCTTTGCTTCAGCACACCTGGTTTACATTACCTCTTCAGAAGGTCATCAAGTTCTGCAAATGCCTGTTAATCACTCATTCATGTAAGTCAGGTGCATGGCAGCAGGGAAACACTGGTGATTAAAAGGGCAACGTGGAAAACATGCAGGACAGTGGCCTTGAGGACCAGGATTGGGAAACACTGGAACTTTAGTGTTTCTGATATGGATGAGATTTTGATTGTCAGTCCAGATCAGTGGTACTCACTCCTGGTCCTAGAGAGCCGGTATCCAGCATGATTTAGTTTTAACCATGCTTCAACACACCTGATTATAATCAGCAGGTGATTAACAGGCTTCTGAAAAGCTTAATGAGCTGCTGCACAAGTGATTCAACCACTAAATAAGGTGTGTTGGACCAGAGAAATCACTAAAACATGCTGGATACCGGCTATCATGCTGAAAGGTCTAAAAATGACACAGCCAGCAAAGTTGTTGAAGCCGAAGCATAAGGACTGACGTCTACGGCACTGGGCGCGAGTTTTAACTTACAAACCTGGTTCTCTGCTGCTAAATGGAGGCACTCCCAAAGTGATCAAAACAGGAGAGAAATGTTCAATCCAGTGTCCGGAAGTAATTCCTGTTTTATCACCTTCCTTGTTTATTAACTTGTACAAATCAGAATTTGACACATTTGAAGGGCATTACCAAAAAAACCTCAGAAATCACGCCTTCAGCCAGATACTCAGAGAGGTTACTCTTAGTGAAGTGGAAATGAGTTAAACATTTATGTGAAGTGAATGTTAGACATTAATAATGATCTTATTATAATGTGTATGAGTATACTGACAGATTAACTTGTTAAATCAACTAATACGGATCTGGTGTAGTTTGTGATCTCAAATGAATCATTGCAGGAAAAATATTCATTTTAACACATCATTGATTAATGCACAGATTATTCAAACACTTTGGGATTTAAACATCTTGTTCATTCAACACATTTGATTATTTCAACTTATAAAGTTGTAAAGTCATTTATGATTAAAGGAAGATTAACTTTATTCAAAGTGAAAATGCAGGGGTCCATGAGACCTTGAGCGAAGATATTATGGCTTCCTTGGTCAGTTGCACGTCACATTTCCCTGTTTTCTTTCTTGGAGGCCAGACAGATGCAATGCGCCCCTGGATATGTAACGCAGTTTGTGGCTGCAAATCAAAAGTTCATTTCTGTTCATTTAGATGAAAAACATGTTAGTGTAACATGTGAGTGATGATCAGATTCAGAGTGCCATATCATAGTCCAAGTCCTGTTTGATCCAGTGGTAGATAGCGCAATGAAGGACTTTTGCAGTTTCCGATTGCAGGCCATGTCAGGGTCAAACTGGACAAGCACCTTCAGGGTGAACAGATGGTAGTTCATCATCAACAGCCCTGGGCACTCTTTGAGTATAATCCCCAAAGAGGGTCAGACAGTTGCTATTGACAAGGCTTATCCAAGTCGGCGTTCACAAAGACATATGTGACTACCATCAGAAACTTCACCAGTCCAGTGCCGGTGCCCACGTCCAATTTTAAGCTGCGCCTAGACATTGAGGGTCCTGGGGGGAAGGGGGGTTGTGCGATGGCATCAGCTGGTGTAGGCTAGACAATGCCTGCAGTGCCTCTCCCCTCAACGAAAGAATGCACTTTAACAACACCCATCAACAAGTCATTGGAGCAGTTGGGGGAGACTTGGGGTCTTATCACAATTCTGTGCTCGGTTAGCAGTCCAGGGCCGAAAGCTAGGAGTGGGATCTGGTTGTCTTGTTGGGGTCTCAGGTGGTGTCA